CTTCATGGGCGAAACTAGGCCTAAACCGAAATTGCCTAAATGCCTAAACTATGGGTTAGTTTCGGCCACCATCATTATTTCAATCATCCACGTGTTTCATGGAACATTATTCAGGCTTTAATTATAATGAAGCACATCAGAGTGATGCTTCATGTTATAACAACAAGAATTAAGTTAAATTAAAAAGTAATACCAAAAGTTATACAACTCTTTTCTGTGCACATTAAAATTTTAAATTCTTAGTGCACATGTAATTTTTGGTGCACACTTCCCCACTTTTTAATGTTCCAAATCAGATTTACACACTGATGAATTCATAATAAATTGATATTTGCAAGTCTGAAATTCACATGTGAAAATTAAATTAACTCAATTAAAGGGATATCACACTAGGGATGTTAAATGGTTGAGTCGGTTCGGTTCGGTTTAAAAACCGTGTTAGACCGTGGTTTAAAACCGCGAGTTGTCGATCATATACTAAGGTCTGATTGGTCAATTTTAATAACCGTTGTTGATCACATACTTTAAATATGAGCGGTTAATTTTAACAACGATTTTTGATATAATATATATATATACATGCAATACTTTTACTGTAAGCTCTGATAATTCTTTTGCAATTAAATTATGATGATTTTCAAATCTTTGATAAATTTGATTTTGTAAAGATTGACATGTTGGTAAGATATACCGTGAATCAAAGATATTGCATAATTCTTTAAACCAAATATGACTTTTTATATGAGCTGGTTCAAAAACGGAAAATTTCCTACAACAATAAAATTAATAACAGCATCTATACATTCTTTTATTCTTTTATTATCATTTTCTTTATATGGTTTTTGTAATTGATTTGTTGTAGAAAGAATATTACTATGTTCTTTTGTTAAATGATCCATAAGTGGTCATGTTGATGATTTTTTTGCATAATTTTTTTCACATAAACTACAAACAATTCCTATAACTTCATTTTGACTATCATATTTTCATACATAAAATTCCAAACCGCAGATGTTGTTTTACTTTTATTACTTAGATATATTTTCCATTCAACTAATAATATTTGCTCACCTCCTGCAATGATTAAAATTTAATTGGTTATTTATGTAAATCAGATCGACAAACCGCGATTCAACCATGGTTGAGTCAGCTGTTTAATATCCCTATCCTATGTCCATTAGAATTGGCTGGGTGAATCCTCTAAACCTGGAAAAAGAGATCAAATCATTAATTGCGTAATTGAAAATAAATTATGTTCGAGATTTTTTAGTGGAATTAACTTCGCTAAGCTTGAATAACTTATCTTCCGTTTCCTGTAATTGAAACTTTTTTTTTTCGATTCATATAAAAAATAAGCCATTCCAGTTAGTTCGATCTATGTATTCCAAAGCTTTTTTTTGACTGCCCAATAATAATAAGAAAAAATATGTATTACATTGTACTCTTTAATGGCGCTGGTACGTATGATGAACTAGTTGATATTCTACGGTGGTATACAAAAAACACATACTTTTGATCTATTCAATTCTAACAAATTTTTTACAGCCATTATTAAGATAATATTCCGGATTTAAGCAGTACCCACAGAGAATGTATTCAAAGCGATTAACTAATCTGTAATTACATTGCTTTAATATATCTTTAACGTTACCACACAATCTCACGCTTAATTGACTTTGCTTATAACTTGCCCATCCCTAATAATTTTTCTGCAACTTCCCGATTTTTAGCTCGAACTATCATTCCATATTGATCTTTAATAAAATACCTTTGAGGTTCAGAACCTTCTACTATAACATGAGGATATCCGCCGAAATATTTCTTTTCATTGGGAGTCTCACTGCGTTCCAAATTTGAGTTGCCAGGTATTTGGGCCTCTTTTTGAAATTTCTCCGAGCAGTTTGTGTAATTTAAAGATTTACTAATATTAGAAAACAAAAGTACTTTTATTCATAATGGCTCGCAAAACCAAATACACCATAAAAGATGCACACGAAATTGCAAAGAAACGAAATGAGTTGTGCCTATCAGATCAATATATCAACTGCATGTTACCATTACAATGGTGTTGTAATAAAGGACACATATGGCATGCAAATTTTAATCATATAAAAATTCTAATTCATAGTGTCCATATTGCGTGTGGAATAAACTCCTTACACTTAAAGATGCTAGAGAAATTGTAATAGAACAAAAGGGCCTATGTCTCTTGGATAAATATATCAATTCCCATGCTCCCCTAGAATGGAGTTGTGCTAAAAACCATAAATGAAAAGTAATGTAAAAAAATGGAAATTGGTGTCCATGGTGTTCACGTGTAGGCCATCGTACTCTTGAAGACGCAAAACAAGTAGCGCATAATAGAAATGGTGAGTGACTATCAAATACATTTGTTAATATTCGTTTACCTTTATTATAGCTTTGTATCAATGGACACACATGGTATGCAAATTTAAATCATGTAAAAATACTAATACCTGGTGTCCACATGTGCAGTAATATTCTGTCTATTATTGAAGAAGCTAAACAAATTACTTATAGTAAAAATGGTAACTGCCTTTCAGAAAAGTGTGTCAATTGCCAGGTTCCGTTAAAAATGGCATTGTGCTAAAGGCATGAATGGAGCACAAATTTGAATCATATAAAACATAAGAGGTGGTGTCCATTTTGTTGAAATGAAGATCTGTGTCAAAAAGTAATTACCAAATATTTAAGACCTCCATCAATAATTCAGAAACCTGATTTCTTAAAAACATCATAATATCCATATATGGGTTAGAAGCTTGACACTTATTATCCAGAATATGGTCTTGCAATTGAAGTCCAAGAACAACATGAGCGTTATGTAGAATTATTTCATCGAGATCAGAATGGATTTAACAAACAGTTATATTGGGATCAATTAAAAAAAGAATTTTGTGAAGAGAATTGATTGTACTAAGGTATATTTGGTATTACAAAGACCCACATGTAGTTATTCCAGAGCATCTTCGAGAATTGGGTCTCACTGAATAAGTTAAAACTTCAAATTCAGATACATTGTGGATAACCAAAAGAGCCTTATGAAGTTATAATCAGAATTGTTTTATTTTTTTATTATATATCAAAAATACAATTACCCGATTAATATAAAAGCAAATTATTTAAAAAAAATTTTAAATGATTATATAATGATATCTCTGTCTTTTCTCTTTACACACTTGTTTTTGATATGTTTGACATTTTGTTACTGGCATCATGAAACAACAATGTAACAAGCTTTCCTTCATTATCTATTTCCAGCTCGACATCTTCAACTTCAGTTTTTTTGAACATGGTGGTCATGGGATCAGAATCTGTAAAATCAATCTTAAATACATCACGTTCCTCATCATAAGTAGGATTGAGTGTAAAGGATGGTTCCTCACTTGCTATCCCTCAGATATGCTCTGATGGTGAATCTATACGAATTGATACTATTTTGCCAATATTATTAAAACAGACAAGGAGGTAACCAGTTGCTTCATCACAAATGTCTCTGGATTCTTCGGTAAAGTATACCCAAAATGCATCTGAATCGTCATAGTATACGGAATCCACAATAAACCTTAAATATATACTACATTAAATAAAAATAGAAGCTTCAGATTTAATATAAAATTTGAATAACAGATATTGCAAACCTGTATTTACATTCAGGATCATGCTCATTATGTTTGGCCAAAAATTCTTTTTTATTCTGATAAATATTAATAATCAGATGTAAACAAGTAAATAAGAAAATAAATAGAAGCCTTTAAACTTAATTTAATTTCATACTTTTTTGTTCGGTTTAATTTTGTTGAAAAATTTTCTATAGGTAAATTTGGTTAATATATATATATATACAGTACATATGTACAAATAAAAAAGTTCAAAATAGTTGTTAGCTTAATTGGATTAATACACATTTTTATCCCAGTATCGACGGGCGGATGAAGTATAAAAAGTGATTAATTATTGTCCAGTAATTATCTACACCTATAACTATCAGGTATTTTCTGTTGAATAATGAAACGACTGGGTTTTACACTCCTACAACGTTGAGTTGAGGTATCACCGTTTCTATATGCAATTAATATTCCTTCAATATGATTTGGTTGAAATAATCTTTCCATATACGTATGAATTTTTGCTTCTTTGACCAGTTAAATTGTAAGAATGAATTTTCAAGAACTATTGACCACAACCTGTAATTAAGATTGAGATTACTCATTCAAG